TGCCCTGGGGGTAAGCAGATAAACATCAAATTTTCATTTTTGGGTGAACTATCCCTTTAATTAAATAAGATCACAAACTAATGATGTCGATGTAAAGTTATTCCTTATTAGTTTTTTTATATTATTAGCTATTTAATTTTATTGTCAGTTTTAGTATATTTAGTACATCAGCTTGCACATTATTTCATTTAATTTTTTCCATTTCTAATTTTTAAGTTTTTCATTCATTGACATTTTATTTCAGCTTATTTCAATTCAAAAACATTTTTAATTGTTTTACTTAGTTTAAGTTAACAATAACAACACTACAGTGGGTACGGAAAGTATTCAGACCCCCTTAAATTTTTCACTCTTTGTTATATTGCAGCCATTTGCTAAAATCCCACTGTATGTAGCCGCGATCGCTCATGTCATTAATATTCAGATTTATTAATGGGATTCAGTATTGATTGGTCAGAGGGTGGCAGCCCTTCAGAATGTCCACTCATTCTCAGTGCTGATTGGTCTTTAGTCGTTTGACCATTCTGTGACCTTTTTCATTCCTTGGTGGCTGGTGATGTAACATGACTGACTCTCTTTCCTGACCGTCTCCAATACTTTCATTCTCATGTACATATTTTATGAAGTGGGGTAAACCCAACTCAGCAGAAGCACTGGGCAAATGGATTCCTGAATGCTGAATAGTAAAGAACATGTATTATTAATCTTGCTTACTCAAGATAATACAGATTTATTATGAGCTATCTTGTGTATACACAGTGTTTTGTATTTTTTAACAGCAGCACTTTGAATTTTTTTATTTAGTTTATTGTAAATAATGACTTCTGATAATGCATGATTCTGAAATTAAAATTACATAAAAAATTTAATTAAAAAAAAATTATATTTAGCAACAAAAACTTCCCAATGTTGCCAGATTTACATCAGTGATATTTTAGTATAGATATTATTATAGTTTTTTGGTAATATTTTGAATTAGATTTTATGTACTGCTTTCATCCAAATTTTTAAGTTTTAGTAATTTTGTTGTGTTATTTTTATTAGTTATTCTTGTTTTTAAATATGTCTGTAGTTTATGTCAGTTTTAGTTATTTTAGTACATCAACTTAAACTAAAGGAAAACGAGAAATGCTACCTTGGCAACTAGCTGGAATAAAATAAGTTTTAGCTTTTTATGTATTTTATTTCAGTTAACAGTTAAAGTACAAAAATGTTTTTTTTTTAGGGTTTTTGCTTTAGAATCAGTTAACTAAAATAAACCTGATTTTCAAAAATAAGCACGCTAAAATATTCTCTTCTCATATACATATTAACAAATAAAAATAAATATTAAATAGAAATGTTAAAATTCTAAACTCTACATTTGCATGTAGGATTAGTTTTTATATTTATTTTAGTAGTTATTTATAATGTAGCAAAAAATAAATACATAATTAAAAAGCATTCGGTAAAATTTTATGTAAGTCTGAAAATTGAAAATAATTGGGGAGTTTTCTTCTTAAATTTCACAAAATTTAATAAAACACTACTTTACGTACTGAAGCTTATATCCAGGCAGCTGAATCATAAACTGCCTTATTCTTTAACATTCAAAAGCAATAAATTCCCTTTTTTGTAGCTAAATCCTACAAGGTTTACAGTTTCTTCACCACTAGAATGTAATTGAAACTGATGTATCACCTGCCACCTCAGCTCATAGTGACATCTAGTGGGTAAAGTATGTTAGTGCAAAGCACTTCCTAATTTTTTTGAGACACTATTAGCCTGTGAATCCAGTAACCTGCCCTCTGTCTTTCAGATCACTCCAGCTGCTGGTCTTGTGTCTATCTTGAAGAGAAGAGTCTCTCTGGAAGGAGCCAACAGCTCTGTCCCTGCCGCCCCTAAACCGGTCTCTAAACGAAAGGTCCGTTTCCGAGAGCCTGACGAGGGCCTGGACCATGGTAAGAACCGCTGTTGTATTCTGCACACTCATTTTTGCAGTATTCACACTGACGACGCTCTGATTCTGTATTGATTTGCTTAAACCCAATATGCAGATGAGGTGGGCGGAGACTCCTGGCTGCTCCTCCTCTTGTTGTGCTTGGCTACCGTGGTGATCAGTGTGGGCGGGACTGCGCTCTACTGCACTTTCGGAGACGCCCAGTCCAGTGTGTGCACAGACTTTTCCCATAATATGGACTTCTACATAGGACAGGTGCAGAGGGGCATGGATGAAGTCAAACACTGGCTGTCCCCGAGCTCATAGCAGGACGGGACGACTCGTTTTCTTCTCCGTTTCTTCTTCTCAGTAGCCTCAGTGATCTTTAATGCTGAGATCTCCTCATACAAAGGCCTTTGCTGGGTCACGCTGTCCCGGATGAAGCCCAAACGAGCCCGTCTGTCAGGTCCTAAAGGGGACGTCCAGCCCCTGCACAGCAAACCTCTTTGGCCAGTTTTTGACTCAAGTAGCCCACTGTTTACTGCCGTCAACTGAACCTCATATGACTTCATTTTTAAAGTCTTAAATTTAAAATCGTAATACTTGGTTGACAGAGTTGTGTCTTTTATTTATTTGAAAATTGAATGACCATCATGGTACTGAAGATATAATAATGGACATAATCATCTGTAGCCTGGACGTAGCATTTTCCTGTGGTGGGTTTGGACTTATGGAAAGATGTTTATAGGGACAGAAAAGCAATACATGTATATTGAGGAGCTATAGATATAGATATATAGATACAGTCAGCAGAGAGGCAAAGTCTCGGTTATCATAGTTATCCATTTATTAATATAGGAAAACAAAAATAATTTTTCAGTAGATTCAGCAACATTGTCATTATTAAAAAGTTAAATCACTGAAGATAATCAATATATTTTCTTTAAAAAAATCTGTCAGATTCTGTACATACAGTTGACAGTGTTGTGTACCATCCATCAGACTGAATTTACTTTATTTTATTAATGTAATTATTATTACTATTAATTATTATCATTGCTAATGAAAAAAATTATAATGATAACAGTGATTTTATGACTAATAAATATCTAAACTTGTCATTTTAAAGTACAAGTTCTATATAGAAAAAGTTGTAAGTTATAAAATGATAAGTTCAGATATTTATTAGTGCGTGTATATTATATTTTTATATAAAAAGAAGTAAAAATATATAAACTTTTTTTTGTAAAATGGCTAATTCTATTAAATAGCCTGTTTCATTTTCCCCATAGAAATGAATCGGTATAACTATGCTAACCATGATTTGTTTTGCCCTCCAGTTTATAACTATTTAGCAATGGGAAGTTTTTAAGACAATTGGTACTAGAACGAGAATGTCATATGATTTTAATATAATTTGCTCAGGCATGTCTCTTGTTAATAATCTTAACAGTTATTGTAATCATGGTGTTCAGATCCATTTTCTTTTTGCTATAATAACATGACCTCCAGTGTTAAATAAGTCACATTTATTTTTGGTTATTGTCATAAGTGCATCCTGTGTTGTGTCTTGAACATTTTTTATGTTTCCTTTTGAAGCACAGTCTTACTATGGTAATGTCAACATAAGTCTGCAGTAAATGAAGTTAAATTAAAGGAACACTCCACTATTTTTGAAAATAGGCTCATTTTCCAACTCCCCTAGAGTTAAACAGTTGAGTTTTACCGTTTTCGAATCCATTCAGCCGATCTCTGGGTCTGGCGGTAGCACTTTTAGCTGTAGCTTAGCATAGATCATTGAATCTGATTAGACCATTAGCATCTCACTCAAAAATGACCAAAGAGTTTCTATATTTTTCCTATTTAAAACTTGACTCTTCTGTAGTAACATCGTGTACTAAGACCGACGGAAAATGAAAAGTTAAGATTTTCTAGGCCGATATGGCTAGGGACTATACTCTCATTCCGGCGTAATAATCAAGGAACTTTGTGATATTAATTTAATATTGTATTCATATAACAGTGTAAACAACAAAATATTTTAAAAATAGTCATATTTTAAATAAAAAGTAAATTGTTGTGATAATACAAATATTTTACTGCGATTCTAAGAATCTTGTTATTAATATAATGTATAACAATTATGTAATTTAGGTAACATTAACAATAAAAAGAATGTGTATATTTGTGTGTTAATTTTGTATTATATTAAATTTCATTTTCCAATTATAAACCACATAAAATATTTAAAAATGCACCAATACGTAAAAATAGTTGTTTCATAAAATCACAAATACCATACTGTAATCCTAAAAATCTTCTTATCCAGAACCCCATTCCGCCCACAGAGTAGACCAATCAAAAACAAGATGATATGACGTATGGCACGGTTGTGTTCTAGATGTACTGTATGCGTACAAACGACGCAATTCTTATTTTCTCAACACAAACTATCTTTGCATGATTCTGCGTAGTTCCTGTAGTTAAAACAACTTCTAAATCTGTGGATAATTCTTTTTTTAACGAACCCCCCAATGGGTATCCATCTTCCTCCCTTATTGTATTGATCATTTCAGAAGGTGCGCAACTGCGCATACAAAGCTGCACACCGATGACGCTCTTCAATGCACATCTAGTTGAAGGCGTTAGCCCGCTCGCTGCGGAAGTCAGACGCTCAACTGTCAGGTGTTCGTCTCGCTGATAGCAGTCTGTTTCTTCCAGCGTCAGTCCGGACGATCAGCAGCTCGGCAGCGTTATGGCGGCGTTCAGCACTTCATCCAGCAGACCCTACCACATCATCATCTTTGGCGCTTCTGGTTTCACGGGACAGTTTGTGGTGGAGGAGGTGGCCCGCACCGCATCCGAGGGTCCCAAGGGGAATTTGAAGTGGGCCGTAGCCGGCAGGAACAGAACCAAGCTGGAGAAAGTTGTGGAGCAGGCCGCCGGAGCTCTCAGTGCGTGAAGCCTTCTTCAATTATGCTAAATTAGCTTGAAATGTCTACATCTGAATCTAGTGAACTGATATAACTGTTCAATACGCCTGCACCCCACAAAAATAACCATGACGAGCTTAGTTTCTGCAAAATACCATAGTACAGTTATTTTTAGCTCTGTAAGATCATAAAAAAAAAGTTTCCGAAACGTCCTTGTCTTGTTACATTCGTTATTTGATTATTGCCGCTGTAACACCTACTACGTATGGTATTTTAGGCAAAACTCTGGTTACCATGGTATTTTTTGTAATGCAGTATATGTTGCAAGAACAAAAAACATCTATTTTGAGTTTATAGGAATGCATGCATTTATGTCTGTGAATGATATCTATTCATTTTGCATTTACCTAAAACTAGTTTGACTCTTATGACAGGGTTATTTATGCATTTATTTTCTTAAACTAAACGAAACAGATATTTTGACAACTGAAAGTTTGAAACACTAAAATGACAACTAAAATTAAAAACTGTAAATAAATGACTAGCTGTAATTAAAACAAATCATATAAACAGTACTATAAAAAAAAACTACTTTAAAATGACAAAAGCACAAAATTATTTAATTATTAATATGTTGCATGATATTTTAATATTTTAACAGTTAAAATTCGAAGTATTCTAATATGTAAATGCATTCCACAACCTTAGCAAACAAAGTTTGGAAACTTTTAATTTGACCTCTCAATACTCAGCAGATGTAAAATATTATTATTAGCCAATTTTGTTTTCACTCTTCAGAGATATTTACTAATGTTTTGCATCTTTTGAAAGAGTTACAGGATAGTTGAGCAGAATGACTAATTGAAAATATCTGTATTTAAATGTTATGCTTTTAGCTGAAGTACAGAAGGAAGCATTATAGACTGTAAGAGCTGCAAACTTGGCAAAGATGTGAAAGTGTTAGAAGGCTTGCATTGACCCAACTATACTGGATTGGACTTGACTTTGACTCACATCGTGGCAAACTGATTTTCTTTAATGCTTGATACTTTTCTGCTTTGACAAATAAATGCCTCGGCGTAGTACATACACTGCATTGTTTAGCTTGGATAATGTATGCATTTTTTTAAACAATAGGCTCTTTGGTCATGGTGGTCTTCAGGGACGGTTTAATTAATCCTCAACAGCTGATGGAAAATTATATTCCAGTGACATATTCAATGCCTTTAATCGTGTAGCTTTGAATGGATGGGCTCAAGCAGAACATTTGCTCAGAGTTATATTTAGATTTCAATAAGAATTCATTTAGCCAGACGGGCCACTGAATAAAGATAGGACTGTTTAGGACTCCTTTTTGTGAAAGTTATTTGATCTTAGTGGACCCAACTGAATTATTTATGACATGGAGTTTGGCCTAGACCGTTTTGCATTTATGCAGTAAATCATAATCTTTAATAATATACAGTCACCAGTAAATATGAGACATAACCCAGCAGAGTTTGCATAATGGCAGTGTACAAGCAATAGCATAACAGCAGTCATGTTTAAAATGTTTGTTCTCAGGTAAGCCGGAGCTGAAGTCTGAGGTAGATATTCTCGTGGCAGATGTCAGCGATCCAGATTCATTGGCTGTCATGTGCAAACAGGCTGTTATTGTGCTCAGCTGTGTGGGGCCTGTAAGTATGCAAGACTGTAGCACACAGAATCCCTTATATATGAGCTGCATTATATATGTGATTAGTCATAAAACATCAGGCTATTGATAAATGACTTTTTGCAATGTAACACCTTAATGTTTACCCAGCTTGCTACATCAGACTGGCAACTGTATGTGACTATATGTGGTTATGCAATACTGTCCTTCAAACAAGATTGATAATCACATTTGTACATTGAACATCAGATGATCTTGTATTAAGGGTCGGTCACAATACACTTTTCATTCCATTGACTTTCATTCATACGAGAGCAGAAATGCAAGCTCGTGCGAAAAAGTTTTGTATGCTCAAAGACAAGTCTAGTGTGACTGCGGCTTTAGATTTTTTGTCATGTCATATCTAAAGGAGTAAAGATTTTTCCCCAGATATTTTAAAGTTTGTTTTTTTTTTTCCCAGATATTTTTAGTCAATAGTATACATATTGTATAGAATATTGTTTAAATGTTAATTTACACTACCATTCAAAAGTTTGGGGTCAGTAAGGCTCTTATGCTCAACAAGGCAGCATTTATTTGATCAAATATACAGTAAAAACAGTAATATTGTGAAATATTATTACAATTCAAAATAAATATTTTATATTTTAATATATTTTAAAATGTAATTTATTCCTGTGATGTAAAGCTGAATTTTCAGCATCATTACTCCAGTCTTCAGTGTCACATGATCCTTCAGAAATCATTCTAATATGCTGATTTGCTGCTGAAGAAATAGTGTATAGTATTGATTCAGCGCTTTGATTTCTTTTTTCTTTCTACAGTACAGATTTTTTGGTGAACCTGTTGTGAAGTCTTGTGTGGAGAACGGAACACACTGCATTGATATCTCTGGAGAACCACAGGTGCTTTTTCCTGACACTTTGTTCTTTTTTCATGATCACAATCAAAATTACACTAAACCCATAAACAGGCATTGATCATAACAGGTCATAACAATATTAGGCTGCGTGTCCACCAAAGCTTTTTTTCCCGAGGCTAGCGCATTTTTTTAAATAGTTTTCAATGGGAGCGCCGCATTTTTTTTTCAAACGCCAGGAGCATGCTGAGCGTCTTTTTCAGCGCTCTGGTGTTTTATCTCGGCGCTGAGAGTTGAAGAATGTTCAACTTTGGGTAAAATGCACACTCATCACTGTCACTTTTTAGTCAGCTGACCAATCACAGTGGAGGAGGGGCGGGACTAATACCAATCAACCGTCACACTCTGCTTGTACTACGAGTCTACGACTGAACTGAACATCAATGGAGAAGTTAATATTGCTTGTCTCCGAGTATTTATTTCTTTACCAGATGGAATTGCCGGACTACCATGTTATTATGAAAAATAAGGCTTGGAGAAGAATTTAATTCACAATGCGTCTTCCATATTACTTCAGTGGTTATTCCGTATCATAAACCCTATTCGCACGGGATTAGTATTACCTGGTGACCTCCAGTCATTTGTAATAATTGCGGAGGTTGTCTGTGATCTTAATCCCGTGCGAATTTGAGCAACATTTTGGTTTGAGTGCAAACCCAAAATATAGAAATCAGTGTTGTTTATGTTCTATTTGCTGCAGTTCCTGGAGCGTATGCAGCTAAACTACCATGACCAGGCTGCTGAAAAGGGCGTCTACATTGTGGGAAGCTGTGGTTTTGACTCCATTCCTGCAGATATGGGCGTCATTTACACCAGGGACCAGTTTAAAGGTATGTTTGTCATGTAATTATTATATTATATAACTATATTCTTAATTGCATATTAATATATATATATTTTTTTTATTCCATTGCCAGGGACACTAACATCCATTGAGAGCTTTTTGACTGCGAGTGCAGGGACAGAGGTTGGTGCTCTTATTTTTTAACCTTAAAAACCCTGAAATACTCAATATTTTTAAAAAGCCTCTGTGTTTAAGTGTCAGCTGACCCACATTCTGGTGTGTGCCCGCAGGGAGGCTGCATCCATGATGGCACCTGGCAGTCGGCTATCTATGGCTTAGCCGACAGCAACAAGTTGCGGAGCCTCAGGAAGAAGTTCGGTCACAAGCCTCTCCCTGTGGTGGGGGCTAAAATTAAAAGGAGGTGTGTATGACAACCATTAGAATTTGTATTTCATCTGCAGTATTTCAAGAAGTCCATTTATAATGGTTTTTCATGATTTTCATGGTTTTTTTTTTGGTTTTTTTGAGAGTCTCCTACAATATGTTTTACATGCATGCAAGGTCAAAAAAACGCTTCCGTTTTCTCAAAATATGCATTTAATATCACCTCATTTTCAAATGATTCTCAAACGATTCATTCGAAGCAGTTCAGTGTTTCTATACCCTCCTTTCCGTGAGGCTACTCTGCTCTGATTGGTCAGATGGCCCAGTCTGTTGTGATTGGTCTACCGCGTACAGCGCGGAATTTTAACCACTGATTCTTTGCAGCCTCATCATTCGGAAGTGAAAATAAAACAAATTTACTTTCACGGCATTTTCTCGACATGATGTTTACCACACGAACAAACTACAGTGTTTGAGGGCAGGTGAAGTTGTTCGCAGCTGGCCAGCGTAGAACATAGGCGGGCATTATGCAAATATGTTACCCCGTGATGTGTAGCAGTCGTGGAAGTGATTCGAATTACTGACGACTCGTTTAGGATGTACAGAGTCGATTCTTTCTTTTGGGAGACAATAACTTTATTTATTGTGCACTTTCGGCTTTACAACTTTGCAGATAATTTACAATCATATACAGCTACATTACAGACTGCATGAAAGGCAAAATTCGAAATGGCATAATAGGGGCACTTTAAGATAAAAATATAGTCAAACCAGTAATATTGTGAAATGTTAACCTGCTCATGAATGTGCTCATGTCTGTTTTTAACAAAAAATTAATTTCTATTTACAGGGGCACACTCTTTTATAGTAACGAGTTGCAGCAATATGCAATTCCCTTCATGGGTTCCGACCCATCAGTGGTTAAAAGGACCCAGCGCTACTTAAATGAAGAACTCACTGAGTCTCCGGTAAGTCATTCAATCTTTTAATTGAAATAAAGCTGTATATAACAAAATATAAATATTATATTAAAATGACTAAAACTGAAATAAAGTGAAAACTAATAATGATTACAAATGCTCATAAAATAACACTAGTTCAGTATCAATGAACAACCCGGCATACTTATAATTTTCACATAGAATTATTGGAAAAGGCGGCAAGGGGACAGTACAAATGTGAGTGTCAGTTTAACTCAACACTGAACCAGTTAAACTGGACTGAAACTGAACTAGCTGAACCAGTAAACGCATGAGGTTTTAGAAAAATGACAACATTGACTGATTAAACAACAAGATTAAAGCAGTAATTCATAGACTTTTTTTCAATAGTCTTTTCTCACAAGTCAATGTAATTCCCTTGTTAAGGATGTAAGTAAAGGCAGTTCAGTAAGAAAAAAAAAAAAAGCACACAATATGAGGGTTTTTCCCCCTGCTGGAAATTTGTGAAAAGACATTTCATTGGCTAAGCAACAGATGTACAAGAGTAAGGCTACGTTTACACTAGTGCGTTTTCGTTTTAAAACGCATAACTTTTGCTACAGTTACGCCTGACGTTTACACTACTCCAGCGTAAAACGCTGCAAACCCCATTTTAGTTTGAAAACTCAGAGGTTGCGTTTCAGTGTAAACGGACCAAAACGTAGACTTTTGAAAACGATAGCGTAGCTGCCAACATTCGCTCTGCGTATCCTTGACGACCGTGTAAACAATAACATCATGCTCATTGTTGTACCCATAGATATGTATACGTAGATGCCTCATTAGCGACTGTTATGGGCCGCTATACGTAAGCTGTCCGCCATATTCGAAGGGTCAACTTGACATCATTCACCATAATAGTAACATAAGTTACCAATGTTTCAAAACTTGTAATATTGAGTTAATACAAACACAAACCAACACATTTTCACCTGTGAAAGGTTATCCCGTTTCTTCGGGGAATTTAAATCCCGGCAGTTTTTACAAAATCAGCTGTGCAGGATTGTGGCATCTTAGAATATTAATTGATTATAATGGTGAATGACGTCAAGTTTACCGTTAAAGATGGCAGACGCGTCTACGTGCTTGGCGCAGTCGAAATGAGGAATCTACCTATACATCTATGGTTGTACCTGCATGAATGGTCATGTGACATGCGTTTTCGGTTGTGTAGTTTGGACAGAGATCATTTCTGAAACGCAGTGAAAACGCACTAGTGTAAACAGGGCATAAGATATACAACAGTAAGGCATATTGACTTGACTGTGTCATATTCATTCACATCAAAATCAAATTAAATTTGGCATCTACCTTTACTAAAGACCAATCAAAATTACTGCATTACTGTAAAATGACCTGCATTACCATAAATGTTTTATGTTTTACATGTACTGACACTATGTGTATGTTTCTTACAGGTTCAGTACGGGGCGTATGTTGGTGTCGGCGGTATTTCCAACATTTTCAAGCTTGTCTTCGCTGGATTGATGTTCTTTTTCCTTGTAAAGTTCAGCTTTGGCAGAAATCTGCTCATTAAGGTATAACATACTATATCATGTTGTGAAAGCAATATATTGCATTTAATTTGATTTTTTTGTTTGTGGATCTTAAACATATACTTTGTCTGCAGTTTCCGGAGTTTTTCTCATTCGGTTTCTTTTCCAAAGAAGGTCCAACTAGGAAACAGGTATTATACCCACATTATCATCATCTAGGCTATCAGCTCTATTTTTTAGGATCTGATTCATTTAAATGTGATATCTGCAGATGGAGGGCTCCTCTTTCCGTTTCATCTTTCTTGGAGAGGGTTACACTGAAGGTTCAGAGCCCAATGAGGGCAAACCCAACAGCAAGATCCGCACTCTGGTCAAAGGACCAGGTACCATATTCAAATCTGCCTCGTATTGTGGTGCTTTTCCACTGTGTGGTACGACTCGGCTCACTTTACTTTGGCTCGGTTTGCTTTTCCACTGTAGTTTAGTACCGCTTCAAAGTGGGTGGGATTACAGACTGATCGTTATTAGTTGCGTAGTATATACCTTGTCTACTGACCACGATACAGCCATTTCTTTTTTCACGTTGTGTGTGACTGTCGTTTTAAGCAGGTCATTTAAAGAAGTCGTGCGAAAAAATTATACTGCCGTGACTGTTGCTGACTATGTATTTAAAACTGGCAGTTTTGGTGTATTGTGTCGCAAATCCAATGACGCTGGTAGTGATGACTTTCTGTGACCAATCAGTGATCTGCCATGTTTACACGTTACATTTTAGTATCGGTAAGGCTCGCTTGGAACCTCAACCGAGGTGATACTAAAAAAAAGTACCAGGTACTAGGTACTGTACACAGTGGAAGACCCCCCAAAAGGGAGACATACAGTGGAAATCCGCCATTAGTGTAGCTGCATCAATGCATATTTCTCATTTCCATTTTTTGTGTGTGGTATTTTCTAGAGCCAGGATACGTCGCCACACCAATTGCTATGGTTCAGGCGGCCCTTACCATGTTGAACGAATCAGATTCTCTTCCAAAAACGTGAGTCCAGCCATATATGAGGTCAAAACTACATCTAAATAAGCAGTTTGTATTATTAATGGGATAGTTCACCCAGAATCGAAAATTCTCACCCTCAAGCTGTTCCAAACATGTACGAATTTCTTCTGTTGAACACAAATGAATATATTTTGAAGAATGATGGTAAACAAACAGTTGCTGGTCCCCACTGACTTCCATAGTATGGAAGAAAATACTATGGAAGTCAATGGGGACCAGCAACTGTATAGTTACCAACATTCTTCTTTTGTGTTCAGCAGAAGAAAGAAACTCATACAGGTTTGGAACAGTTTGAGGATAAGAATTTTTGGGTGATCTGTCCCTTTAAGTGGCATATTCTGACTGTATATTATTGGGTGATTCTCCACAGCGGCGGTGTTTACACTCCAGGAGCGACATTCGCCAAGACCACCATCGTCGACCGCCTCAACAAACATGGCATTCAGTTCTCTGTCCTTTAAGTGAGAGATTAAACAGGGCTTAACCGGCTTGGCTTTAACATCAGTCTTGTGAAGCACCTATTAATTTGCTTGCTTGAGCATAGAGATTCTTGTTGCTATGTAAAGCTTCCTTACGGTGTTGCTGTTTTCCGCTGTTTTCCGGTTTAGTGTCCTCGTTTGTGCACGGTACACTGGGACGGGTTTGTTAGCATGCACTCTGCTCAAATGGCTGCGAAATCTGCACTATGATTGTGGCACAAACACTCTTGAAATCCCTCCATTTAATCACACATGTTTCGGTTTGAAAAGTTTGACATTTTTCTTGCATTGTTTGTATCAACAGAAATGCTAATTCTCACAGATGACAGACATCTCTAAAAACATTTAAAAGCACACCCAGAGTTGAAAGAAAATATAGGCCTAGTTAGAGAAAGAACTCGTTTTTGTAATATTGTCATGAGTTGTTATATTTGTGAATCATGTAACTGTAGCAGAATAATTAATACAAGAAATAAGAGAGAATGTTTTAGAGACCAATGAATCTGTGAGTTGTTTGAAAGATTGCAGAATGCTATTCTGGTTTGTTTCTAACTAAATAAAGTACATATCAAACCGTATTCTATGTATAATATTATGTAACTAAAATGTAGTACTTGCTTACTGTATACAGCCTACTTTTATAGTCTGTGAAACAGTATGCAGCATGTCACGACATAATTCATGCGATTTTGTGTAAAAAAAAAAA